CGACGTACGAGAGTTGGTTCGGTCGTCGTCGTGTGTGTCGGCGTCCGCGACGACCGTACCGTCGTCGTACGACGACTACTATTTATTACTATATATATATATATATATATATATATATATATATCAGCCATGAGTAAGCTGAAATTTGGATAAGTCTCTGGTGATGATGAGTGATGATGATCCTTTCCTTACCCTTTTCTGCGCATTTGAGGAAGAAATAGAGAAAAATTCTGCCTGATAGGAAAAAAAAAAATGATGTCCCTAATTTTATGACTGTTATTCTATTGGTCTTGGTTTTCTAACAACTGGCTTCGTGAAAAACTCGACGCATTCACAAACTCAACGACATTTATCATTTGGCTCTCTCTACAGCCTACCATACAGCCTAGTATCCCTTCATTCTTTTTTATTCTTTTGAATTCTTTTTGGTTTTCCCATCTTGCCCTCAATACATGATGGACTCTTGAGAGATTGTTCTTGGGTAAACGTATTGAATATTTTGAAGAAAAAGAAAAGAAAAGGTATATAATTGGTGAATGCTTTCGATCTAACCTGAAGCATTAGAATGCATGTGAACTAAGTGTATGCAATTATACATAATTAAGGATGAAAAGAATTTGAATTTGAGCAAATAATTATGATAAACGAAGAGTTCATTGAGATGAGAAATATTACCCATGGTGCTCCCTAGCATACACAAAACTGTGATATACCCAGATTTTCCAAACCCAGATTTTCCTAACCTTCTTTGGAAACCCTTCATTTATATGATTTGCGAGGGTTAATACTTTAATAAAATGTAGCACTGTTCCAAAAAAATGGCCCACCTAGCGCCTAGGAGGCCATGGGGGCCAGGTGTATTGCCCAAGCCTAGGCGGCCCTCTTGGGCATTGGATCCCTGGGTGACCACCTTGGCAAGTACCCACTGCCTAGTCTTGGGCGGGTGCTTAGGGACTTTGCCTGCCTAGGGGTGAAAATGCCCCTCGTGGAGGGGCATTTTAGTATTGTTCCTCCTATATAGGGGGGTCTTGATTTTTGTGCCTGAAACTTGTTATTTATTTATTTAAATATTAGGGTGTTAAAAAAACAAGAAAAACACACATTTTTGCTTTCTTGTTAGATTGATCGGTTAATTCAAAGTTTTGAAATTGATCATACTTTTGGTTTGGATTTGATTTTATAGATTTTCGAAGCTGATTAGGTTTTTTAGGAAGCGTTTGAGATTGGGAAACATCTCAAAGGTTGAAGATTGAATATCAAGCATTACACGTTAGTTGCAAGACTTTGTATTTGAGATTGCTTCTGTTATTTCGAAATGTCTTCTTTGGGTTCTATTAGAAGTGGTGATCCGGAAATATGAGTATGACCCGAATGCAAAGGATAAGAATTGTATAAGAGATAATTATTGTGAAAGAGATACCAATGGGGGTGTAAATTGGTTCAAGAAACATCTTACCGGTATCAGGGAGGATGTTGCCCCTTGTAAAAAAGTTTCTAATGCGATTAGGGAGGAGATTAAAGAAAAAAAGAAAAAACAAGAACAAGAGGCATGATGAGGGGGATGATGAGGTAGAGCGGGTTGCTTTGTCCCAGACTCCCAGTCTAGGAAAGAAAAGGGAGTTATATTGGATTTGGGGGGATTACGAGATCTCGAGTTAGGGGGCTTGCTGATACTTTTTTCCTCCGGCTTGACCCTATGCTTGCAGTTGAGAAAACTAAGAAACAATCAACAATTGAGAATATAATCAAAGGAGGGAATAAAGAGATCAGTATATTGCTCAATGGTTTTATGAGGTGGGTATTCCTTTCAATGCCGCTCGCCTAAGCAGTTTCTACAGCTTGGTAGAGGCAATTGGTCAATTTGGGCTTGGGTTGAAGCCCCCATCCTCATATGAGCTTTCCGAGCCTCTTTCAAAAAAGAGGTGGAAATCATGAGGAAGATTGTGGACTCACATAAGGATGTATGGGTTTGGTATGGGGTGTTTATTATGATAGACACTTTTAGTAACAGGAAGAGGAGCCAATTGAATTTGTTAGTATATTCTCGTTTAGGGACTGCTTTTTTGAGATCTATTGATGCCTCTGATGATAGCAATGCTGCCATGTCCATATAAAGTTATCAAGGAGTTTGGGGTGTAGCATCTTATTTAGGTTGTCACAGATAATGCTCCTCCTAATGTTGCTGCCTCTAATATGTTGCGCATGAGCTACCTCATATCTTTTGGACACTATGCGTAGAGCATTGCATAGACCTCATGCTTTAGGTTTTAGCGGTATGAGGGCGATTGCAGGCATAATTAGGAAGGGTAAGTCAGTTGCAACCTTCATCTATAGCCACACCTTCCCCCTTAGCATGATGCGCAGGTTTACAAAGAAGAAGGAGACAGTGAGGGTCGGGGGGTCACGAGATTTGCTACTTGGTTCTTGTGTCTAGATAGCATTTATACGAGGAGAGTCAGTTGAGGCAGATGTTCAGGCCATCAGACCCGAGGTCGGCCCTGATGGGTGGGGTTGTGAATTCTATGATGGAGTCATTCTACGAGAAACTAGGTGCTCTTCATCCAAACATCTCTTGGCGCCCTTAGAGTGAATGGGCTCTTAGGTGGATGGGGAGAGGGAGTGTGTTAGGCACCGGTACCGCTGAATCGGATTACACTGGATCCATCATGCAACACGGAGTCACACGTTGCCATGGGTCGTCATTTCATTTTATGTTGCGAGCCACTTGTCAAGCTTACCCTTGCAGGCGATGTCCATCGTGGCACTTCTGATGATTGGAGTGAAATGCAAGTGGGCTAGGGATTAGAAAGCATGAGATATTATCTTATCTAAGCTTTTTTGGCAAGGGGTGAAGGACTCTATTAGGGAATTGTCCAAATCTCATATACTTTGGCTTGTCTTTAGAGTTTGGATTGATTGAACATAAAAAATGTAATAAAATGCTTATTGTGGCATATTTTACACATAATTTGGACCTAGAGCAGTTTTTTTGGACACCTTGCACCCTTGTTCTTCCACCTGGATTGCCCAGAAACTGAGCGGCTGCCTAAGCACTGGGTGGCTAGGACCCCCCCGGCCGCCTTAGGTGCCGCACGACATTTTTTGGAACATTGAAATGCATATAGGTTATTTTGGAGGATATTACTTTCTTCTTTAAACTTTAATTTAAAGTATCATATTGGGGTTCGGATTTGTATTGAGAGCAATGTTGTCAGATTCTCTGCGGGGTCTTCTTAGGTTTGGTGAGAAAAATGAAGCAATTCGGTGTTTGGGCCGATTTGGGGGAAAACCTCGGTCTTTGTTTTTAATTTAATATGAATAAATTAGATATTTATATATAAAATATTAAAATATGTACCAACAATGGAAAAAATTTAAAATAAAAACATAAAAAATAAAAAAATTTCTTTTATATAGCCATTTCTTTGCTGGCCGAAGCAGACCTGGAGCAGACTTGAAGCATACCCAAAGCAAACCCGAATCTGACCGAAGCAGCCCGAAGCGGTCTGAGTCTGACCGAAGCGGCAGTACCAGGCTTTGCTTCACCCCGATTTATGCCTAAAAACCGAAGGCTTTGGCCCCTTCGGCCGAAGCGAAGCGAATTTGATAACATTGATTGAGAGTGAATCTTTGATCCAAAATTCACATACAAATATTAACAGTTCTCGGAACAAAAAATTTATAGAGCTCGCACTGGCTAGGGAACTCTTCTTAAAGTTTCTTCTATTTACTTTCTGCCTTACCCATAATATCTAAATATATTCTCCTGAGAAAAACCCACTGTTAGATGGGCCTTTTCAGGGCGCATTGCTTCTAGGCTTGATTAGCACTTCTTGATATTGATCTTTTGAAAACTTCTCTTCGTGGAGTTTGTATTTCACTGAACTTTGCTTGCATGTTTTTTAAAGCCTGATAAGTCATCATTTTTCTAATTCTTCAACCATCGCCAGAATTAAATTAGAATATTGGGTTTTCCACAGTATGTCACCTCAATCTAATGAAGCATAGGTTTTTATTTATTTATTTATTTATTTATTGTAGTTCTGTTACAATTTATGGTTAGACCTGATGTATTTCTTGATTGGCAGGAGAGCGGGATGGGATATAAGAGGAAGAAGAAACCTGTAGCTAAGAAGAAAATGAGGTGATCATTGTGCCTATGTTGAAGGCTCTTCAGAAAGAGGTATTCCTGCTTTGCATCCCTCTATCTGCCCACCCTTTTTTTTCCACCCTGAATAGTGCCATGCTTCAATTGGTATTCTCTTCTTTGTGTCTTACACATATCATGATTTAACTGTGCTTATTATGCTTGGGAAATTATTAGAAGTTTGGATGGGGAGATGCTACAGTTGCTATGTAAACTTGGGGCAAAAACTGTGTGTTTCTACTTTAGGCTATAGGAATCATAAGATTTACAGGTAATAAAGTGGCTCGTATTATGTGGAATATGCTTCTGGAATACATTTTACATTCCGTGGGAGGAGACCATTTTCTTCACTAAGTCTTTCCCTCGTGTAAACTCTGACAGAGGAAGGGAGAGGCAACCAAGAATGATAGGATTTTCATGTCAGACATTAGCTGTTGCTGAAATTAAACATTCACTTGATAAAAAAGTAAAAAACATGTTTTAGTTGTAAATTAACTTTTTTAATTCAAAATCCAATAAGGAGTATGTGGTATACCATTGCCTAGGTTTGTCTAATCTAAAGTAGTCAACATTACAAACCTTTTAGTGGAGCAGTGTCGAAAAAGTTGAACTCGGTGGATGACTTGGTCGTGGCCAAAAAAACGAGTCAAATCACTGAGTTGATTAGTGTAATCAGGAGAACCTGGGGAGACTTTCAAACTTTTTAGAGAAGATTTCTAAAAATATTAAAATGTCTTTTGTGGGAATCATAGCCTGCTTGTCACATAAAACATATATACTCTGTTCTACCATATTGGCAACACCTTGTAATTGTTAAATTCAACTAGAACTTTATATAATAAAAATACTCGGTTATATCCTGAATATTTGATTTATAAACCTCACTCACATAGTGATCTTAGATTTTCAAGCAAGTTCTGCCTACTTGAAATGAGTTTTTTTCGTCTAAGGCAGTGCATATTTTGTGATTTTGTAAGCGTTACGAGACTGCGAATGCGTATTGGATTTTGTATGAGATGCATTGATCAGGCAAATAAATTCAATATAAATAGCAGTACTATTTTTTTTTGAGGAAACAAAATAGCAGTACTATTTTGTTTCTAAAACTTATTATCTTGAATAAGTCTCTGGGGACATTGCCTGGTATTTGAATTGATTAAACAAAAAAGGAAAAAAAAGAGAATTGATAGGAGAGGTGCTTGGGTGCATTCATTCTAGCACAGTTTCGTTGGATCCTGTCCACACTTTGAAAGTGTGATTACGCAAGAGGAGCCATTGGATGGGTGGTCCTTGTGCACCTCTTAAAACTTACCAAAATGCTTTGGTATATAAGTTGATTTCCATTATTGCACATGTTTTGTGAAGACACTATGTTGAACCTGGGAAATTTTTTTTTAAGACTTCACTTCAGACCAAATTTGAGATATGTCAACTTAAACCTTTGTTAAAATTCAAAGCACGTGGAAGCCAGAACTTGTGAGTATCAATATTGTTAGAGATCATTGATTTTTTTGTTTAAATTAATTAGGATTTTTTTTAAGTTTCAGAAATTACACCATTCACAAAAGTCGGCTGTTATATGTTGACAGTGTTTAATTGATTATTAATGTTAAGGGTCGTCATTGATTGTGCCAAAAAACTTTGAAATATAATGTGATTATCTCGTTTAATCAAGTTTTACGACATGGGCCCTGCCTCTGTCTTGAACATAATTACAAGTTTGTAAACACCTTTTTCACCTTATGAGTGGTAATAATAGGAGTGCTTCTGAAATATAATGTGCTTATCTCGTTTAATCACTTGCTACGATATGGACCCTGCCTCTGTCTTCAACATAATTACCAGTTTGTAAACACCTTTTTCACCTTGTGAGTGGTAATAATAGGAGTGCTTTCATTATGTTTCATTATTGTGGTCTCCTTCCAATTTGTAGCTTTTTCTTTCGATGATTTTCATCCCTAAAGCAGTTTTTTCGCTGTTTTTTCTTATACTGTCACTTTTATTCAGACTGTTTTATTGTACTTTTGTTCAATTTGTTCGATTGAACTATTCTAAAATCTCCTTAAATATTCTCAAGCGCCCATTGATGACCATATAGCTCTCCCATCTTCGATTCTCTTCAATCCATCTTCCGATCATCGATAGCATGTTTGCTCATGCTGCCCAGGCTGTAAATCCCCACTCTGTAAATCCCCAACTCCATCTCTTCCAACTATATCCTGCATCACCAATGGATGGATGCCTACTGATGCTTATTCAGGTGCCGATGGACTACATAACTTTTACTCTTCTAAGCCTCAGTTTTCCAAAGAAATTTCCTGCAACAAATTGAAACCTTAGATTTTTTATTTACCGCAACTCCATGGACAGTTTTTTACCCTTTAGCGACTTCATGGCCTCAAGAGAGAGGAAGAAGAGAACAGAGAGATGTTTATTGTGGGAGAGGAATCGAGCAGTCTTTGAACCAGGGATATAAAGTGGTTTATAGTTAGTTGATATAAACTGTTTCCATGAGCAGTAAACAGCAGATATCCCCTTTCTTGCTTGGGAAAGCTGGTGGCCCTTTGGGCGTGTTCATTGGGAGTTGATAAAGGGAAAAGTAGTAGAAGGCAGTGGAAGAGGAAAACAGTAGTAGGGAATCTAGTGAGATGACTTTTGCAACAGGGGGATAACCATGGAGGAACTTAGCTTTGGGGGGGATTATATAATTTTCCTTATTAAATATATTTTTTATATAAATATATGTTTTATTTATGTTAAATTTTGTTTAAGAAGTCTGAAGTCTTCCCTCGAATCGGCCTAAACACCAAATTGCTTCATTTTACCACACCAAAGAAGGCTGCAAAGCTAATCTGACGACATTGTGTGAGCGCTTCGTTGTTGAGGATCGGTAGTGTTTTGTGGGATGCTATTTACTGTGTTTGTAAATAATTATTTTGAAAGAGGAAGTTTTGTTATTTATATAGAACATCTATAAATTGTTACTTATCATCATCTTTAAAGCTTTTATCCAACTAATTTGGGTTGGCTATATGAATCATGGTCCGCCATTCTGCTCTATAAATTGTAACTTATATAGAACATAATTACACAAACAACAAACAAATAAAATTTTCATGTGTTAGGTGTGCTTTTGATCTCACAGAAGAGTAATACTGTGACGAAGTGAAACATCGTTCTTTGCAAATGAGTATTCCTTTGAGTAATACAATCAGTGATGCATTGCATGGCATTCAATATGGTGACAAAAAACTCCCATTGAAGTCAGAGTTTTGAATGGAAATTATTTGTTTACTCCCCTCGTAACCACTATATGAAATAGGAACAAGAATAACAAATAAAACAAGAACGAGAAATATTATCAGAAGAGAGATTAAGAATGATATCTTATTTGTTGGAGGCCGAGCGCTTGAAGTTTGTCCCTCTTTCGATCAACATGTCTTTTAAAAACTAAATTAGAAGAGTGGAAGTACTTAATTTTCTTATTTAATTGGGAATTCGGTGCTCATGAATTCTGCTGCATATCATTATTGGGCCTTCAAAAAACATCTTCTTGTAGCTGTTGTAGATGTGCAATCGAAATTTTTTATGCATGCTTCCAAAACCCTCGTTTCTTTCTTTCCTTCTTTGAGTCAATTACAATGTAAATAAGTGAGAAAAGGATATTAGGAGTTTGAAAGCTTAGACTATTTGTGTTGGGAAATATATACATATGGTGCCACACCGATAAAACATATGTGACTGCTATTTGTAGCCGTCTGATCTACATTGATGGCTAGTATAGCTTGTGTCATAATGTCACAAGTTTTCCTTTGAGTGTTTAATCTTGGTTGGGAGGCTCAAAGCATATGTTGTATTTGATATTTAATTTTTTATTACATGAAATTTGGGGCTTCCTTACTTCTTACAAGGTCACACCTAACAAAAATAAGGAAAAAGTATTTCTGATAAAATGACCACAGTACCCTTGGAACTTATAGGGTTATTTGGTCTTTTTTTTTTTTAAATTTTTATTAGGCATGCCTTATAAGAAGCGGGCACACCATAATTTCATGTCAAAATGATTCGTGAAATAAAAATAAACTTAAGACAATTAAGGATGACATTGTTACTGAAGCCATCTTGATTGTCCATTTATATTTGATGATTAAGAGGCAAACCACCTATAAAGGATTCATGTCCACACTCACACACATGTATAATCTTCAGTTCTTTTTGCAAGTTATGCTTAATCGTGATAGGTTTTGTGCCTGACATGAGTTTCAGACAGAGAAGATGAAACATGTGTCTAAGATCTCCAGGTCATCAGTTAAAAGTTCTTTGGAAGGAGGTATGCCTGATTTCGGTCTGTTGATTTTGCTGACTCTCGAGTCCTAGGTTCGCCCCATAATTCAATGGGAATTTCTCGTGTTCTAAGAAAAGAATTGTTTTGCAGAGTGGCCTTTGGGCCTGGTGGTCGAGTTGCAGGGTTCCACAGGCCCACAACATGATGTATAGAGAAAAAAAAAAAAAAAAAGCGAAATTGTTTCGTTTTATGCACTACAAATTATGTAAAGTTTTAGGGTTGTTCTTTAGGGGAAGGGTTGGTAAATGGTGGGATCAAACCACGGCTTTTATATTGGCCTCAAAGACCTAAACAACAATCGATGAGCTATGCAGTATCCATGTAAAATTTAGGAGTGAAATTTGTCCAGTTGTATCCAGCTTTTAGTAAACAACAGCAGAGCTAGTAAGTTATAGGGGAATAC